TTTTTCTTCTCTTTTTCACAGTTTCTCGTGTTGAGCTGCATTCCTGGTGACCACTGACATTCCTGCAAAACCTGAAATGGAGCTGACCATAAATATTTTCTATCCAGGTGAACAACACCGGGAAGAAATCAAAAGGAAGATTCTGGAATGCTTCAGGAGAAGGAAAATTCTCAGGATGGCTTTCTTGAAATTGTCTCCCGAGAATCCTTGGAGGTTTGTCCTTCAGTCAGGAGATAAACGTCTCTTCCACTTCTCCTCCTGTGATCCAAGCTGAGCCCCGCATCTCTCTGCCGCCAATTATCCTTTAATTATCTCCTTCACTCCCAGTCCTTGGAATTCTGACCAATCCACAAGTTTATTTGGAGAACCACAACTTGACTGAAGGGAGTTTAGTTCCTGCAGAACCCAAAATTCGGGTGATCAGCTCATACATAACTCTTCTGGCCTCACCTGTGTTATTCCTCAGGATCCACCTGGTTTCCCAAGGATTAGAATGGGAATTTGCATGTCTGGCTCAGAGGAACTCACCAGCCCTGAAAAGTGGTCTCAGGGCTCTGAACAAGCATCTAAATCCCACCCCAAACATTCCCAATTCATCTCTCCCTCTCACTGCTGCTTCCCACTTGACATCTCCATCCAACCAATAAATCCTGAACCAGATCAAGTTGTCCTCTGGATGGACCTGCCTCTTTTTATTGGCTACCAAGAAACCCAGAAAACTGGTCCAGGCTTAAGGCTGAACTTTTAGTGGGCTGAGATTACTGAAATTCAATTCCACCTTAAACGCATTGGGACGTTGTGAGCAATAGTTCATATTTTATCAATAACCATCTGCAGCTGAACTCCGGGGAAAATTCACAGGGAAGAGGTTGGAGATTTATAGATATGTGGGTGAAGGGTTATAAAACGCACGCGGGTGTGCGTATTTCAAAATCCGTGTCTGTGCACATATTTATCCCTACCTGTATATTTATCCAGGCCAAGAGAGATGAATACTTTCCCTATGGTGCATTCCCTGGAATGAGAATATTTCAGAGCCAGTGGGATTTGTCAGACCCGTCTGGCCTGGTGTTAAATGCAAGATCAGATGGAGATACGGGGCAACACGAGGAAAAATATTGCTCGTTTCACCATTTCTGTCTGCTCGGAGCGGCGCTGGCTGCGCAGCCGGGGCTGGAGCGATGACGCCCGTGCAGACAGCCAGGAGGGGAGGGATGTGATAAATGAGGGATTGAGAGGTGGGGAGGTTTGGCTCCTCACGCTCCCGGTGACTCAGGCGGCGTGGAAGAGCCGTCCCAGTGTCGAGGCAGGAAGCCCTCCATAAAAACATGAGCGGCAGCAGAGGCTGGGATCAGCCCAGGACTTCGGGCTGCTGATTTTTTGGTGCTTCTCGTGGTCTGTTGTTGCTGGATGGTTGGGAATTGGTGCCAGATGTCCTGCATCTGCTCCTTGCAGCAAGGGGAACCTTTTCCAGCGGGTGTTTCTCATTATCCCAACATTAATTTTCCCTGTCCTACCCATAAACAGTCACACAACTTCACTGAAGCCTGTGGAAGGTCAGGCCAGTGGGAAAAACTTCTCCAGAGGTCAGTCAGGTTCTGCCACACTGACCTTGTTTAGGAATCCAGAGGTTCAAAGGGAAGGATTATGAGAAGCAAAGATGTGAACGTCATTCATCCATGGTGCCCCAAACTCAGTCCTAAATCCTGGGCTCATCCCAGCTGGGAGATGCTTCCTAAACTCAGTCCTAAATCCTGGATCCGGGGCTCATCACAGCTGTGAGACACTTCCTAAACTCAGTCCTAAATCCTGGATCCCTGGGCTCATCCCATCCATAGAACAGGATAAAACAAATGCTGCCTTTCCCTAATTAAAATAAAAGATGATCAGAGCAGGGACTCTCTCTTAAATGTCTGTGTGGAGTCACACATGGACAGCTGTGTCTGTGATGTGTTCTATGTGCATTTATATGTATTAGTATTAGTATTAGTATTTAGATATTCTATTCTATTCTATTCTATTCTATTCTATTCTATTCTATTCTATTCTATTCTAATAAAATATATTATATTATAATATAATATAATATAATATAATATAATATAATATAATATAATATAATATAATATAATATAATATAATATAATATAATATAATATAATATAATATAATATATTATATTTACTTTTTATCTTTATTTATTTTTTAAAATTTTTATTTTTATTTTATTTTTTTGTATTTATGCATATATATATATTTATACAGCAATGTGTGGGGTCTCTTAGGGAGCAACCTCCCTTCTAAACAAGCACGACTTATTGACTTTTTAAATCAGTCTGACTTCACTGGGGCATCTTCCAACACCTTCAAAAAAATCAAACATGCATTTTTGATGATGTTCTCGACAGAAAGAGATGTGTTAAAGGCATAAATGTTGCTGAACAGCAGGGGAGATAAACTGGGAGCTGTGAACGCTGTCCCAGGGAGGCTGTTTCTCCTTAGGATATTTGGGATGAGCAGTGACAAGCCGAGGACGCCCCAGGTCACCGTTATCTTCCGTTATATCACCGTTATCTCCTCCAGTGGCTCCACGCTGAATCCGTGGGGTCCCGGATCCGCTGGGAGCGGATGGGCAGCTTGATCCTGGTGTCAAGAGCAGGGGGCTGAAATCCCGGAGTTTTCCGGCTGCCTGGGATCTCCGGAGCCGCCGTCCCAGCACATCCGTCCCCGCTGACAGCCCCCTCAAGGCTTGGCTCGCACCCTCCTGCCTGGAGGCTTTGGTGCTGCTGTCACCTGCCAAAGGATGGAGTGGGAGGCCTCAGGGCCACTGGAAAAACACTCAGCCCGGGAAGGTGCTTGGGACAGGGTGTTCCAGCCGTCAGGAACTCCCAGGCAGATTGGGAATCCTCTCTGAGTGCGCTGAAGGTGCTGAAGATGAAACAACTTTGACTTGAATCTAAATTTTCAACCTGAATCGGAGCTTCCATCCGAATCTCAGAGCCTGAGCTACCTTTAAAACTTAGATTTTGACTTGAGAGGAGATTGGCATTAAACAGCTACAATTTCCTGGTCATGTGCCTTTTTTGTTGTTTTTTTTTGTTTTTTTATTTTGTTTTTTTTTTGTGTTTTTTTTTTATTTGTTTTGTTTTGGGGTTTTTTTTTCTTTCTTTTTTTTTTTTCTTTTTCCTTACAAAATAATGTTCCAGTTTCCTTCTGAAAAATAAAAAGGAAAAAGGGAAATCTCAACAAGTGCTAAAAATGGAAAACCAATTATTTTGCTATAGGAAAAGAATTGTACAATAAGCCACTCTTTTTGGGGTTAAACCATGAGGAAAATGTCACAATAAATGCCAAGGAATAGCAGGGATTGAGGACAGGGGGAGGAGGAAGGTGCCAGCAAGGACAGTGTGACAAGTGGGGACGTGATTGCTCAGTGAAGGAGTTGTTTTGGAGCTTCGTGGAACTGCAGGTCAGAGGTGGCGATTCCATGCTCAAGTGGCTCTCCTTGGATAAAATCACCTCTCACGTTTCATCAAATTCCCTGTCCTAACCCCAAAATATTCCCGTTATCAGCGCTGGGATTCCTGGGCCTTCTCTGTCCCCACGCAAACAACGGGGCAGCAGCAGGATCAGCCTCTGGAGGTGTCTCCTTTTCCCTCCTGGGTGTTGAAAAAGGCTGGAATCCTTATTTGAACCATCCAACGAATCCCAGAATCCCAGACTGGCATGGCTTGGGAGGGACCATAAAGATCATCCAGTTCCATGGGCAGGGGCCACCTCATGGGCTCTGAAAGTTTAATTGCAGATGTAAGGGACAGAAAAATGAAGGAATTTAGGTGGGAGAAGCAGCTGTTTGTCAGAGGGATTTGGCCCAACAGGAAATATCCAGGAGTCCTTTACAAAGGCAAACCCATCCCAGAGGGAAGAAACCCCCTTTCCCACTCAGGATTATCTCCTTCCCATGGACCAGGTGGATGTTTGGAAAAGTTCTCCTGGTCCAAAATCAAAGGCATCCAGAGCTGGTGCATGGTTTGGGTTCAAGGGGACCTTGAAGCTCATCCAGTGCCACCCCTGCCATGGACAGGGACAGATCCCGCTATCCCAGCTGCTCCAAGCCCATCCAACCTGGCCTTGGGCACTTCCAGGGACCCAGTGACAGTCACAGCTGCTCCGGGAATTCCATCCCAGCCCTTCACCACCCTCAAAGCCAGGAATTCCTTCCCAATATCCCATCTGAATCTATCATCCTTTATCTTAGGCCTCATTTTTCCCTTCAGAAAACAAAAGAGAAGAGGAGTAAGAAAAAGGCAGTGTTTATAGTTCTGGTTTAATCCAGACCAGAGTTGGTGTGCTCAATGATTTTAATAAAATTCAGACTTTCAGCAGTGGTTTTATTCCTGCTGGTGGGTGATGGGTGAAGGATGCTGCTGGTAATCCATCCTAATCCAAACCAAAAGGCTTTGAGGCTGGAATAAAGGAGAAAATAATAAAGTTAATCAGCAAACAGAGACAAATTGTGAGGGAAAGACAGCTTGGAGCAAAATGTGGTTAAACACAACTCAATTCTCTGTCAGACTGAGAAACTCAATGTTAATGAGCCCTGGGCTTTGTTGGGTTCTGGGGCACACGCTCCTGTCCATGAGCATTCCAAATAAAGTCATAATCCTTGGCTCATTTGCATGGAAAAAAACTTTCCTGACCCTCCAGCTGTTCTCGCCCCGGTGTTTGCAGTTTTATTACTCAAATATCAGCTTTTGTTCGCTGGCCAAGCCCAATGAAAACATAATATTTAAATATAAGCCCCATTTACCTTTCAAGGATTTTTCCTGTCCAAAAAATTCCTGGTAATTTGTGTCGAATCCAGGCCCTGAACTCATTATTCATCCCTTCCCCGTGCCTGTTCCCGTTAATAGGTGTTAATTCCACCCCTGTGACATCATCGCTGTTGCCATGGCAACGGCCTGTGATGTCACAAACACAAGACAATAGCCCCCGGTTAGGAATAAACCAGTGGGAAAAATGAGTCAGGAACGAAGGGAAAGAATGACCAGAGAAAAATATCCCAGGATCCAAACTTCCCACCAGTGTTTTCACACGCGTTGCCACCTCGATTTTCCCGGGATTAGGGGCTGGCTGGGAACGCTGGGTGTGTTTGTGTTGGATTCCTGAGGGATAAAGCTATGCTAGGTGAGCAGGATTGAGTCATGCCGGGATCTGAGGGTTGACTTCTCCCAAAATTTGGGGTGTTTGATCTTAGAATTGGAGGGGAAAAAAAAAGGTGAAGATTTCAGCCTGGAACTGTCTAAATAGGGGAATAAAAGGGAAAAAAAGAAAGAAAAAAAGGCAGGAATGCCTAATTGGTTATTTAATCTGCTGTTTTAGGTAATGTAAATAATGTATTACTATTTATATAAATTAAATATTTCGATGGATTAATTTTAGTTGAATATTTAGATAGATTTAGAGTAGATTTCTGGAAGGATTTCTTGCCTGTGAGGTGAGGGATGCTCTGGAACAGCTTTCCCAGCGAAGCTGTGGCTGCCCCTGATCCCTGGAAGTGTCCGAGGCCAGGCTGGACAGGGCTTGGATCCACCTGGGATAGTGGGAAGTGTCCCTGCCATGGGATTAGATGATCCTTAGGGTCCCTCCAACCCCAACCATTCTGGGATTCTGCGATTCCATGATTATATTTCCTTTCTTTGACAAAAAATTCCAGCAAGAAGAAGAGAAGGGGGAGGATGTTTTCTTCTCCCTGCCTTCCATGGAGATCATTACCCAAATTTTCCTTTTTCTTCCTTTCTTTTCCTTAACTTTAATTTTCCCCATCCCTTGATCACTTCCCCAGAATCCTTGTTTCTCTTTTTTCCATAAACACTGCTCAGTAAACCCACAAATTTCTTCAGGAACTTGGCTGAAATTTTGGGATTGAAGGTTAAAAATGTAAATTTAAGTTTTAAATATGGAGTCCTTCCTTCCTATCTTTAATTCCTTAACTCACATCTTCTCCACTGCACCCATTTCCAGGTCCTTATCCGTGGATTTTAGTTTGGAGGGCTCCCAGCCCCTGTTTTCATGTGAGATCTTTTCCATCTGAAACCAATCCCGAAGAATTGCAAAGCGAAGATGTCCCGATCTCCAGGGCTTTTTTTGCTGTGCATCCCTGAAAAACTGGCTTCATCAAGGCCTGGATTCTCCCTCCCTCTCCAGTTTCCCACAGGAGAATCATCTCCAGCTCACCGAGGACTTTGCAAGGTCTGGAAATAAACAGAGGAACCCCAGGAAGGCAGGGAAACATCAGCTCGTGGCTCCTGTGGACATCTGTGGAAAAAAAAAATCCCAGAAATTCCCATGGTTGCCAACAAATGGAGTTTTACAACCCTCAGACGTGCCAGGAAAGGGGTGGAAGATCAGCCTGGATCCAGGTGGCCAGCTGGGCTAGTGAGGGCTTCTGTGCCAGGTCCTACAGCCAACAGCTCCGGAGGGAGTGATTTGGCCGGAATTCCGGCCGTCTGCCTGGAACTCCGGAGCCCAACTGACCGGATACCCTCGGCAGCTGAGTCAACGGCACAAGTGCAGGCAAAGCTCAGCCTTGCAAGGCTGGGGCTGGACCTCACCAGGTTTCTAAATGATCTGGGGATGGTTTTAACAGATTTTAAATTTTGGATTAATAATGGGAGTGGCTGCCAGTAAATCCCAGGAATTAATCCTGCTTGACAAATTGTTTGCAGGATTGGTCACCTCCAGTTTTGGGGTTATTTTTTCACCAAAAAGTTGTTAAAACTGGCATCAACTCAAGCCAAGAGGCTTCCAAAGTGGTGGTTTGGGCTGGGAAGTCAAGGAAGGATGGGCCAGATGGTGGTGAGATCCCTGGAATGCTCCAGACATGGTTGATGTTCCCTGCGTGTCTCCCTCCCATCCTACTGGGAATAGTTTTTGGTGTTGATATTTGCATTCACACTCCATAAAATTTTTTTTTAAAAAAAGGAAAAAATAAAAAAAAACAAAACCCAAGCCCCAAAGCAAAATTCAAGATGAGGGAAGTGGGAAGCGAGGTCAAACCTGAGAAGGAATTTTAGGATGTTCCAGTGATTTAAGGCAGTGATGGAAGGTGTTATTTTTGTGGAACGTTCACGCTTTGCTTCAATCTGGTTTGATTTTATGTGGCTATTCTGGAAGATCCATCTGTGTAATTCATCCCAATTTTTAGTATAATATGGGATACAATCAGATTAGGAGGGATCTGCATGAAGACAGGGATACAAAGCAGAATTTTATCCATGGGGAATAACCAATCCACTTTTCCTCCATTGTTCCTTAAGGCCATGGGATCATCAGTGAAGCCCAGAACTCATTAATTATTCTAAAATCAAATTTTTCTGTTTTTATGTTCGAAGATTACAAAGTGACCAATTTCTCCTGGGACATTGATGCTCCTGAAGTTTAGAATTAGGAGAAAAATAAACAAACCTTCATCCAAAAAAACTCATTATTGCGCTTTTGGAAAGTAATTCCTAGAAAGGTGAGATAGATTGTTCAGAAATATTGTGGTTATTCATCAGATTCTTTTTAAATGTCTCCAAAACTGGCCAAAATCATCTTAAATCAATTTATTCCAATAAAAATTAATGGGGAGATACAACAGCTCTGACCTAAAAGCTTTGTAGGAAGAAACCCTTAGGAGATGCCTAAAAATAAACACAAAAATGGGCATTTCCCCCCATATTCCCTTGGATCTTCCATGGGAATTCCACAAAAACCAGGACTGCTGATTTTGGCCATCTTTAATTTCAAATGGCCAAATATTTATCCAGAACTTTTTTTTTTCATGTTTTAAGAACTCACTTTCCATTCTCAAAATTTGTCACAAGTGGAGAGGTGCTTTTTAGGGATTTCTGCCTTTTAGGAGGAAAAAATATTTGGATGCAGTTTCTGGGTCAGTTCTAGGAATTACTGGGGGGAAAAAAATCTATTTAAAGATGCAGCAAAACTTTTCAGGTTTTTAAATGATCTGGGGATGGTTTTAACAGATTTCAAATTTTGGATTAATAACAGGAGTGGCTGCCAGTAAATCCCAGGAATTAATCCTGCTTGACAAATTACTTGCAGGATTGGTCACCTCCAGTTTTGGGGTTATTTTTTCACCAAAAAAGTTGTTAAAACTGGGATCAACTGAAGAAGTTATGTGGTGCTTGGAATTTTGGTGAACAACAGAATCCCAGAATTCCAGGATGGGTCAGGCTGGAAGGGACCACGGATCCCTCTGCTCCATCAGGGCCATCCCAGAGCATGTGGGATGTGTCCAGATGGCTCTGGAATATCCCCAGGGAGGAGCCTCCACCTGGTCTGTTCTGTCTGGGCTCTGCTCAGGGCTCAGGCACTGCCCAGGGCAGAAGTTCTGCCTCATGTCCAGGTGGAACTTCCTGGGATCATTTCCTGCCCATTCCTTGTCCCACGACTGGAGCAGATCCCGGCTCGTGCTCTGCAGATGTTTCCAAACTTTGATAAGATCCTCTCTCAATTTCTTCTTCTTGAGACTGAACCGCCCCAACTCCCTCAGCTGCTCCTCAGGAGGTTCCAGTCCCCTCATTTTTTGTGTCACCCCTCATTTGGCTCCACCCAGGAGCTCCACGACTTCCTTTAGAGAAATTCAGTGTTCAGATCATTTCCTCTAAAGAATTCTTGGATAAAAGTCTCATTTGGAAATTAGGATCGGGATAGGCACCGACTCCTTGGCTGATGGCTAACCCAGGAATAGGCACGGGGCAGATGAGACTTTGGGATGGAATTTCTTCTCCTGGGACATTCTGAGAGTGGTGCCAGGAGCCAGGACAATGCTGTTTTTAGATGTTGCTTCAGGTGAAATTCCTATGCCTGAAGAAACTGATTCCTGAAGAATTGAGAGGGAATAGGGTTCCTAACTAAGACGATAAAAGGGCTCTTCCAGGCTCTTCCTTGTTTCTGTTCCTCAGAGGAAAAACCGAAATAAAAGACATTTTTATAGATTTAATAATTTGCTATGAGGAGATGGCTCCTTGCTGGAGTCACTTGGATTTTCCATAGTAATTCTGGAGGATATTTGAGAGAGGACGTGATGAACCCCTCACTGGGACAGTGGAAGGTGTCCCTGCCCATGGCACAGGATTGGGATGAGATGACCCTTAAGGACCTTTCCAACCCAAACCATTCCAGAATTCCATGATGATTTCTGCTGGGATCCAAAGGCTGAGGGGAATTGCAGCACTTTATCAATTTTCTCATGTGAGGTCTGCACAGAGAAGAGATTAATCAGGGCTGTTCTGGGGGAAATTGGTTTTTCAGTGTCTTTGTTTTCGTGGTTTTTCCCTCCAAGCTTTGAGCCAGGAGGGAGCAATCCCTGGCTCTATTTAAATTATCTGCTTGTATATTTTATTCCACGAATGCTGATTTGATTTTTCGGAATTCCGCGCTTACATTGCCGCAAAATCCCATTAAAAAGGAGGAGTTTGATGATTTTTATTTTCTTTTTTTCTTTTTTTCCTTTTATTTTCTTCAGTGCAAGACTGTGGTGGGTCTTTGAGGTTCAGATTTGGCTCCAAGAGTTCAACCCCAGTCAGCTCTGATGGACCCAGTCCTTTTGGCCAATGGTTTCTCTTCTGTTAATTCACTTCTGGAAAGGAAAAAAAAATGGGAAAAATGGGAAACAAAAACCCAGAAAAAAGAAGGAAGAATGTTGTATGGAGTCTCTCATTCCCTCCCATCCATTGGATTCATCACACACGAACACACTGGGAATGGAATCTGTCCATCCTTTGGTATCATGAGTTGGGTTTAAAGCGTTGCCTGGATGGGAAAGTTTTATAATCACATTCCCTGGCCTGAAGTTCTGTGGGAAATATCAGGTTAACCTGGCTGGAAGCGGCTGCCAGAAAACACAGAAAATTCCTTGGGAAGCCAAACTTTCTACTCCAAAGCTCTTCCAAACATGGAATATGTGTGAGGGTGTCTGTTTATGCACGGAGAGAGACACACACGTAAACATACCTCTTTGAAATGGACTCACACTGCCCCTCCCAAAATCCATTCCCACTGGGAATTTCATTGGCATCAAGGTGCTGGTGCCTGGGACAAATTCAGACTTTTGTGGTAATCAACAGATAAAATATGTCACGTTGCATTTGAAGTTAAAAAAAAATGTGGGTTTTTTTTTACAGAAGCATTTTTTGTTGGATAAAACACAGACCAAGACTTGGAAGAAGCGGGTCCTCATCCCAACAAAACTTGGGTTCCTCTCTCGGCTGAGTCAGCTGCTGAGATTTCCTGTCGTCAACAAATAAATTGGGATGATTCAGAGCAGGAGCCTGGCTGGGTGCTGGGAATGTCGCTCCTCCTGCTCCTTCTCCTTCCTTTCCTTTCCATGAATTGTGGTGGAAGCAGTGAAAAGCTCCTTGGGGAGTATCCAAAGCATGGAAGGTGTCTGATCCCATCCCAAACGGGCAACCAGAGCCAGTGAAAAATGGCCAAGCTGATGTCGTGAACAATTTCAATATTGGCACCTAATTACCACCTCCGAGTGCTGAAAGTCAATTCCCTTTTCCCAATAAAATCTTTCCTAATATCTTTCCTATTAAAATTCTTATTCCTATATTTTCTTTTTCTTAAAGCTGGTGTAATTTTCTTTCCTACTGAAACCCATTTTTGTGCTACTTAGAATGTAGGTTTTAAATAAACCAAAAATTTTGATAACTTCCAGAATTATTTTGAACAGAAAATACTTTATGAGTAGTTTTTTTATTAAAAACCGTAATAGTTTTATGTGAGTGTAAGAACAGAAATCTCCATAATGACTGCATTTTTTGGCTTTTTTTTTTTGAGTTAATTTCTGTGTTGAAAAAAAATGAAAATACTGAATCAAAATAACATAAAGAAATATTAAATATATTATAAAGCATTAACTCCCCACATTATAGAGCACAGACCACCAATAATTCACGCAGACCGTTGTGGTGGTCCACAAAATAAACGTTTGGGAAGGAAAGCAGTAGGAGATCCTAAGAGTTTTATGGAAAATGATCCAAGAGAAGTTTTTTCTACTATTCAATTCTTCATCAAAAGGAAAAGTGAACCGCGGCTTTGGGAGAAATGTTTCGGAGTGTTGGGAAATTCGTGCTCCTGAAAGGATCCCAGAATCTCTGCAGCTGCCTCAGAGCGATGGGACAATTCTTGAGGAATTTTCTGGGGTTGCCAAGGGGGTTTTTCAGTCTCTTCTAAGCTGGAAATTTCAACAGCTGCCTCAGAATTAATTAATTTTTGATTGGACT